GATATTTTTATATACATCTAGTTATTTGAGGATCTCCAGGTGAGCATAGAAAATGATTTATACATTTTTTTTACATAAATTGTATTATATATTATCAGATTTATACATTATCAAACTTAGAGCTGTATCCTGCACTTCACTGATAGCCTATAGTTCGAAGTCAGTTCAGGGATTCTTCCCTACTAATTGTATCTTTTAAGGTCTTTTGTTTTTGGTTTTAAACATCCACTAATATATTTTGGTTCTTTTAGGTGACGTGTTACTAAAAATCGTAATCTATTCAAAGCAGGAATAAAAACAACAAACCCTACTTCTTAAGAAATACTTACTACAAAATCGACGTACCACATTGTCGACTACCACAGGGGCATCTTGATCACTATACCCCACATTTTGTTGATGTCAATACTCAATCGACGATAGAGTTTAAACTAGCATGGCTATCTAAGTGCCTGTATGTATATAATGATATCATTTCTGCGCTATGCTATAAACATCACAAGAGATTTATCGATAATTTATTATTATTCTATAATATTTTTCTCAGATATACAAATCTCATTAGTAGAAGCAAATGTAGTAAATCTGTCAGTTATGTGCCATTCATGATATACGCTTAGGTGATCATGTATCTTTCGATATATGACTGACGAGGCAGATTTTTCCCCGTAGTAGGTTACCATTTGTTTCTGCCATTTATCTATAGAACTCGGTCTGTCCTGCTATTTACCCAAAGCTGGGGGCAGGAGAAGCGGATTCATACCTTTCCTAAGGGTATTAGTACGTAAGTGAATGTAATGGATTCGACTGGAATTCGAACTCGGCTCTCCAATTCCTCAATGTAGTAAATATTAAACTAATTACACGTTCTTCTACATTATATTCACAAAATGTAATAGACAAATAAATGTATAATTAACAGGTGTATATATTGTTCGTATTTATATTGTCACTGTGAGATTCCGGTTGTTATCGAGATGCAATCCACTTTACACAGGGCCAGCGATCATGCGACCCTTCACAAAAATGTTTGCGCACCACTGATATAATAAGTTAGTGTCATCTGTTTCTTCCTGCACAGAAAAGAAATGGGAAGAACCATGTAAATCACTTTACCTATTGATATCTTCTGAATGTGATACCCCCACAAAAACATTTGCGACTGGCACCTTGATTGTCTGTTCCATTTATAGAAGAAACGTATTACAATACAAATTGATCAACCTTTTGTATGTTACGAAGTGAAACGTCATATATAGGCACCATAGTAGTATAAAATTCAAACATTTATTCTGTCGTTTATTAAAAACTAGCAGGCTTTGCCCACTCGCTACCACTTTGCAAAGTAAGATATATTCACTACCTGAAATCTTTGAAACAAATATTTTAAATGAACATTTCATTCATAAATTGGCTTATTAAGGAAAGTTTTACAAATAGATGCCAACATGTTGAAGGCCAAGTAAAATGCAAATTTCAAACACTTTTCTGTGCTATATAAGACAATATTCCTAAATAGAACAATTTTTATATGAAACTCAAAAGACTCCTAGAATGAAAGAACAATAATGAAGGACAGTTATTTTTTAAAATGCTTTTTAAATCAATATACAAATTAGCTAAACCTGAAAAGTGATATTGCCTAGAAGATGATAATACATAATACAGATATTGAACTCTTAGTTTGTAAATGGCTATTGAGTTGAGGATTTTTAAACCAAGAATTCGGGGAAGAATTGCACTCTACTTCCGCTTTTATTCGTCTAGAAGAAGACATGTTTCTTATTGCATATTGTTCTTGTCAATCCGTTCCTGTTTATGCAAATGGCTAACGAGTTAGCAATTAAGTTACATTTAGAAAATTTAGTGGAAATATATATTTCTATGTTGTTTTTTTGTGGGGGGGGTCGTTGCATAAATCATTCTAGAAAAAAAATTTTGCATTATATCTGACATTAATGTACGGAAAATATATTTTAAAAGCTGACCTCCTTTTAAATTAGACAGGATGTATACAACTGGGCGTGTAGTAGTCAATTTTAATATCTATCATTTCAAAGGCATTCATTTCGCAAAAAGCCGAACTCAAATCGTGTCTAATGGTCGGAAAATGAATACTACGAATAAGCAGCGAGAATGTTTTATAGAAGCATTCAGCAGTCTATTCATATACAAAGGAAGAACGTAACACCGATAAACATGCCTGTCGATTAACAATATACGATTGACAGTAAAGAGTCGGGCTTTGTTAATAATTTCATATTGATTTACATCGAATTCAGAATACTGAAAATATTTATTTAGCATAGCTTAGACGGAGAGGAAAGCTTATATAGCGCCAATCCTCCAAGAAGAGAGCCTGCCTACCTTGAAAAGTCAGTGTTATAAATTCTGGCTCTTGACTGGACTCGAACACCGACCTCTGGCGCCATTTTGATTACATCAGTCACCAGGCAAGCTCTCAAATTCTGAACACTGTATGATCTGAATAAACAGTGAAACATTAACAATATCAAATGTTATTTAAAGATTATATGTATCTTTTTTGTTTCATTTAGCTTTTGATGTTTTTATACAGAGCAGGTGTGTATACGCATATAATAATTTCTATTCTGAAATTTAACTCAGTATTATTTCTGTGCATTGTGTTCGCTAGTGTAGACATATTTATGGATGTGTGCCTTTGTTTTCGTGTAGAGAGAGTGCAAACTAAAATCATTTATTTTTACAATCTTATCATCGCAATTCAAAGCAGTAACTTTACATGTTGCTTTTAGTTTCAATGACAAACTGCTATGACATTCAAACAATAATTTTAAAAATATACAAATTGTTGTACTAACCGCAGTGAACATGTAGGGGTGCGAAAAACTTGTCCAAGGACTCGATGGCCGCTCCTTGATTCGAACCTGAGCCACCACGCATAGCTTGGTGACATGGTCAGCGTCTGAAAAGCATAGAAGAATCCACGCTGCCAAACAGATTTGGAAGGAGCATTTGCCTCGAGAAGAGGGTCCGTACCATCTGCGCTTCGCGTGGGAGTTGGGGGTGGGGATAAAGAATTTGGCAGAATGAGATGTAGGCAAACAGACAGACAGGCTAATGAGTCGATGAATGGATGCTATATGACGGTTCAAATTATTTGTGCCGGCTTTTTTTTTTTTAATTTCTTTTGTATCTCCTCGTGCATATCTTGTAAGTATATATTTTTATTTACCTCCTTTGCTTATAATATCATTTGCGTGGGTGTGTGTTTTGTGGGGCGGGGGCTTCATTTTCTTTTCTTTCTTTTTGTGCTCCAACTCATAGTCTGCAATCAGATTTTTTTTTTTTAACGAAAGTTACCGGTAGGTCAACTCCTATGAAGATTACCGGAAGGCGAGAATGAAAGAGAAAGAGAGAGAAAGAGAGAGAGTGAAATGACAGAGCGAGGGACCAAGTAGATCCTTACTCTCTGTTTTCTTTTCTTTTTCTTTTTTTTGTTTTGGCATTTATCAATAATATGTCATTTTTTTTATAACTGTCTTTTGATTTTTTGTTCCGTTTTTGTTTTGTTTTATCATTATTATTATTATTATTATTATTATTATTATTATTATTATTATTTACGTTGGTCTCTCTTCATATTTATTTTCTATGTATTTCAGGACATATATTTTGTAAATGCCAAATTCAATTATTGTTTTGTTATCGTTCCTGTGCATTTTTCTTTCCAAAATATACAGTTCCCTTCAATTGATAATGAATATTAATTTATACCTGGGTTGGGGGTTCAGTATGTGGAATGAATATTTTATCCGTTAAAATCTGCTTTGTTTTTTTCTTTTTTTTTTTTTTCATTTAGTCTTCCGTTGTGCAATTTTTTTCTATGTGTCTCGCTGCCACGTGAATCCGCGAGAGTTTTGTGTTTGCTACTGTGACGCATTTTTTTTAATTTTTATTTTATTTTATTTTTTTCATCGCTCTTCTCACTGTTATGGAACTCAACTTAAGACAATCATCATCTTCGTTACCATGACGACCCTCATCATTATCATCCTCATCGAAATTAGTACCGTTTTTTACCGGTTGCTATTCGACATGATGATCACAATGATAACAGAGTCAAATATATCACAGTTTTAATATCAATTACACATGGTTTATTTGTTTGCTTTTGTCGTTGGTATTTAAACTTGTTCGTTTCTCTATTGTTTTGCCATTTCAGATACGTCAACTATTTGATCTTTCGATTCCATACACTTTTCTATATCCAAAATGTTTGGGGTTCATTTGATTCAAATATTCCCATTATTAGGAAATCACATTAGTACATTCATTGAAACCACACGTAATATTTTAAAGGCCTCAAAATTAAAACGCAAAATATTTTCATACACATACGTGCACATAGATACATATACACACATGAAAATGCATATACATATATACGTGTGCGTGTGTATGTGTATATGTGTGATTGTATGTATAGTTTTGCCCAAAACTGGAACGATTGTTACGTTATGTTGCGTGTCTGCAGAAACCGGAACATAAAAAAGTTTATCCAAGTTTTTTTAAAATACATTAACTCTTTATTGATGTGTTTTTTGTTGTTGTTGTTTTTTTTTTTTTACTTTGTTTTTAATGATACATCATAAGAAATAAATGTTATGTTCTGAATGTTAATTAATACTTTTCTTTTCCTTTCTCTTTTTTCTTTTTCTATTCCTGCTATTTATTTTTATACGACTCATTTGAAATCATCAGTTGATAGGCATAAAGCATTTTCGTGTCTTTACTTTCAACACAACAAATAAAATTTGTTTGCTTATATGCTCCGATTTGGGCAAATAGTTCTCAAGTGATTATTTCTTTGTTTTTAATTTTGATTTGCCTTTAATTTTCTTTCTTTATTTTTTTTTTTAAATCTTATCCTTTTAGAAATGAGTTTTGTGATGTCATTGTTGTTTCCGATTATTCAAGTTTGGGCTTCCATATTTAAACAAAATGTATTTAAAGGTGTTTTTTTTTTTCTCTTTCTGTGTCAATAGAGTTATATTGCTTTGTCTTGTGTTGAGTGGTGGTCTTAATTCCCTTCATTAACCGTCAAAAACAGTCAAGCATCATTTTTTTTCTTTCTCTTTCGATATTTTTACCATAGTGTTTTAGTGGTGCATGTTTGTTATTTAGTATTTTGCTTTGTATCTGAGTGTTTTATTTTTCTGTTTTTGTTTTGTAGTTTTCCCGTAATTGGATACGTTTTCATGGTTTTAATATTGTATTTCGCGCCATTCGACAAGCAGTATATGCATTTTTTAACTGAATTTGCTTTATCTATTTTCGCGTTTTTCATTGACTTTGGGGTCTTTTTTCTTTTTACCCTTTGAGTGTCCACTCTCTCTCTCTTTTCCCTTCTGTCTCTCTTATACCACTGTTTCGTTTGGGTTGTGCTCAACAGAACTACTCTCTTGTATATAGTACAGTCGCCCAGTGTCTCGCACCCGTTTGCTGGCCAACTGAATCAGATTCTTTTCCTGTTGTTTAATTAAACGTTTGATTTGACGCGACGTCTGATGAAAGTCAAACTCATCGGCCCGCTCAGTTACTTTGATTTTGTGATCCACGTCAATCACGTTCTTCCCCTGCATGCAGGTGAGCGGCGTTTGGTTTCGGACGATCAGTTTGCCAACTTCAGCTAGACAGAGCTGTCTGTTCGTTACAGAACAATCGTCAGCGTCGTACTTCAACTCGGGGAAATTCTGCGTGGCCTGCAGATTTTTATACGTGCACGGTACGCACACGCATGCTGAGTTGACTTTGCTGTAGAAAGAGGTGACGATCTGACCGTGACAGAGTCTATAGAAGTAATGGTCCGGCCGGACGGGCGGCCGCTGGTGATTAACCGAGAGCTTGTTAAACTCCTGGATCACCCGCAGCGTACCGTGATCTTCCTCGCACATGTGGCATGCGCTAGAGGAAAAGGTCATGCCGACGCTTCTCGACTGCACCGACTCCTCTTTCAATCGACGGAGGTTGTAGTTAATGCCATTAAACTTGCGGACGATGTCGTCGAAATTCGAGACGAGCATGACGTTGTTGTCGTCGTCATCGTCGTAGGCAACAGCCGTGCCGTGAATAGGCACGTTAATTTCGACCGCTTTGTCGCACACCGGACATTTCAATTCAGCTTCCCGTGATTTCAAGTGCTTGCGAATGCAGTTATGGCAGAGGACGTGGCCGCAAGGAAACGTGTCCGGGGCCTTGCCCACCTCGAGGGTTTTCTGGTATTCGGTCTCGTTCTTAGAGCTGGCACCGTTGTAGTGCCCCATGTCACCATTCTGATGCCTGTGCGCCTGGGACGACTGCAACGGTGTCTCTGGCGTCGAGTCGCTTTCCGTGTCTAGCGATTTTGATCGGAACTGTGGTCGCGCCTCCGGGTGGGCATGCGCCTCCGGCCGTGCCTCTCTCTCTGTCTGTTCCGAGTCCGGCAGGTGTGCTTCGCGCGTCGGTAGTCGCAAAGGTGACGACGGCTGTTGAAACAGCCGCGGCTCCTCCTCTGACTGTTGTGATTGCTGTGGTTGTTGTCGTTGTTGAGATGCGAGATCTCGACCGCTGGAGCGGCTTCTGCTGCTGCTGCTGCTGTTGTTGTTGTTGTGGTGGTGGTGGTGGTAGTTGCTGTGACGCCGATCGTTGTGTTAGTGACACCCTTTGACTAAGTGCGGCCCTCTGTGGCAGAGGCGATGTCCGGGATTGAGACCGAGCCGCCAGCGGTCGCTGCTGCAGCTGCTGCTGTTGTTGTTGCTGCTGTGGGTGGTGATGGTGGTGGTGATACACCTGTTGTTGCTGCTGTTGTGTTTGTTGTTGCTGCTGCTGCTGCAGTGGCTGCTGCTGGGGCTGGGCCTGGTATAATCTACGTTTTTGGGACGCCGACTGCTGTTGAATTTGTTGTTGTTGGCTAGTAAATTGCTGTTGTTGGGGGACTTCTCGCGACACTCTCGGTACTTGTGGCTTCCGCTGCTGCGGGGACGACCTCTGGGTCCCATCCTGGGGTGACGATTGCCGTTGTGGCCGATGCTGCGGCGATCGAGGCGATATCGTGGAGGACGACGACTGATGCGTAAGCGGCGGCGGCGGAGTCCGCGTCGTGCGAGAGGTCCGTGGGGATCGCTCAGAAGGAGGTGTGGCTGGAGTTCTCGGCAGCGAGCTAGACGATGAGGCTGAAGAGGAAATCGAAGATGTGGATGCCAGTGCGGCTCGGGTCCGTTTGGTCGACGGAGGGGTTCTAGGACTTTTCGTCATACTGGCTGCCGATGAAGAAGAAGAAGACGTAGTTGAAGAAGAAGGGGACACGGGTGTATGTGACAGAGGCCGATGAGGGGTTGGGATCGAACTACTTGTTTTTGTTGTTGTTGATATAGGTTGTTTTTGTTGTTGTTGTTGTTGCTGTCGTGACGTAGATATATCTTCCGATAATGACTGTGGAGGTACAGACCTCTTGCTCCCTTCCTCGTAGCTGGCCATTTTGAGGGCCACTGTCTCTAGAAGCATTCGCCAGCAAGGCACGCGTCTTCGTGGACTGGGACACCAGCAGTCTCCTGTCGTCTAGCAGTTAATTTTTTTTTTATTTTACTTTTGTGATTATTTAGTAGACGTCGTCAACAGTTGCTACCTGAACCAACCTTCCTTGCGAACAATCTGACTACCTAGCTATCTATCAGCGGGCCGCGTTACCAGCCAAGCGATAAAAGGTTTATTCCTCCGACCTCTATCTGTTGATTTCAGTTTTTCCTTTTCTTTTAGTTACTTTTATTTTACTTTTTCTCTCTTTCCGTTGCCTGCATAAAGTCAGCAACAACTTCGGGGGGTGGGGAGAAACAAAGAAAAAGTTCTACTTTTGTGATCAAACAAGACAGGTCCAAAAATCTATATTTTAAGAAAGTTTCCGGCGAAATCGAACAGCATTACATTCAATGTGGATATTCTTCTTTCTTTCTATTTTTCTTTTGCCAATCTTCAAATTCAGGAGGATTTGTATTGTGACGCTGAGTATCTTTGTATATTTTTGTTTAAGGGTCAGTTTTTTATTTATTTATTTATTCTGTTTTTATTCGTATTCCTTTTTGCTGAAGATTATCGGCCGATGTATACCGTTTGTTTTCTTCAATGATAGGCCCACGCTTTTCCGTATTTTTAACGATGCTCTCTTCTTGTTTATCACGAATTTATCTTGGTGTCATTTGACGACATTCAAACGTCGCAAGAATGTAGTAAATTCGCCACGTTTTTTTTTTTTTTTTTGGTTTCTTTTAGTTTTTTTTTTTTAAATTAATTGTTTTCGTACGAAAAACAATTTTTACTGACTTTAACTACGACCAGTAATAAGCTTAGATGTTGTTAATGTGTTACTTTGTCGATCAGAACATTAACGTTTTGTTTTCTTTATAAACGACTATATAGAGTGAATATGCCCTTTCAATTTTTGTTGTATTTTAAAAACAAATTTAAATTCGAATAACAAAATAGCCATACACAGATTGGGTATCGGAATATTATTTTGAATAATTAACTTCAAATTCTGTTTGCTTATATTACGTGCTCAGTTTGTAATGGGATCTTTCTGTCATAGAATAGAGTTTGTCGTATGATATCAGAGATTTTATATGCGCTAATATGATATAAAAGTGATATAAATACTGATATTCAAAATACGAGAATGTTGTGTATTTGGCGGGTTGCAAAAACAAACTAAATAGCAACCTTGTCTGGATATACACAGAGTGTTTGCTTCGAATAAGAACCTAATGACAAACTCAGCAGAAGTAACTACAGAATGGTCAACATATTTTTATGTATGTATGTATTTTTTTTTCTGTTAAAAGTTCTCTCACGATACTGAGAAAACACGTGTATGAGAATAGGGGATATTATATTAAGTCATGAAGAAGAAAAAGTGAGAGATTAAAAAAACATGCACAAAATTCTCAGATGGTAACAGAGGCTCAACAACAAAAAATCCTATGTAAAAAAAAAAAAAAAAAAAATCTCCTAAATCCAATGTTATTCGCTTTTTCTGCGTCTCCGTCTCCCCAGGTGTGTGTGTGTGCGTGCAAGTCGAACACACCGAATTTGATATAACGTCGAATATGCAAAAAAGACAAACTTTTGCTCGTAGATGAAGGACCGGACGATAAAGTGATCTGGTCAGGTCACTGACGGTTGTTGGTGTTGGGTGGGTTGTGAGTATTTTGTGTTAGAGGTGGACTTTCCGTTACAGACCAGCGGTCACTAATTCGGTAACGATTTTCAAATTACAACGAACACAGGCCACGAATTTGTCTCTACGCAAAAGAAAAAAAAATGTAAGTCAATGTATTAATGAATGTCTAAAGAAATTTTTCTACGCTCGTTTGAGTGTTAATTTTTTGTTCTTCGTCTTTTCGCCTACGATAAAAATTCCATACAAAAATCACATGTCCACTTCTCTCTACGCACACCGTATTTATGTAGACATATATTTAAACCAATATTTACATAGATTAGTTTGTTTTTTGTTAGAAGAAAGTTCGAGTGAGAAAAGATGAATATTAAATACGTACAAATAAATATATCAATATAACCTTTATTTTTATGTAATGTTTGCGTGTGTGTTTATAAATATTTTTTTTTTAAATGTAACTAACAATGAATCTAATCAAGGATGAATCTGGCTAAAATTGTAAACACACAACCAGAAATTGTGTTCAGATATTTCTCTCAATATATATCTATATATACATATATATGTATACTTGAATATGTTTATCTAAATATTTTTAGACGGATGAGTGGATAAATGGGGTATGTACTTAATGTACACGTTTATAGCTCAAAGATTTTGATTAAAACATCTATGTACTTTTTTTGCTTTTCTTTGTTCTGATGTTGTGTATATGTTAGAATTCTGATTAATTCTTCAATGACAACTTAGTAATAAAAATGTATTTATACATGCCTGAGACTTTATTTTCAATCCTCAAAGTGAATCATTGATAAGTTAATCGAGATGATCAATCGATTTGATTTTTGCCTTTATCTTCTGTTCCTTCTCATGCCATAAAATGGCGACTCAGAAAATCGTTCTGCGATGAATATCGGCAAAAATCCAATTTTTTTTTTAAATAATAATTTAGCATATGAATCATAAACAACAAAGTTCACACGTTAAAAATCACTTTCTTTAATACATTCGATTCCTTTATTTTCTTTTATTATATCTTTTTAAAAGGCTGTTTTATTTTTTATTTTTATTTCCTCTTGGATTATATCAGGAGTTAATAAAACTCGGCTGTAGGAAATATAATTTCAAAAATTCCGAGGAAATATTACGCTTTTTAAGTGTGAGTTTTTTGGGGTTTTTTTTATTAATATTATTATTATTTACTTCTCGAAAGTTCCCTCTTTCTGATTCTTAAGGTGAATTCAATTTACCAGAAAAAACAATCTCTCACTCTCTGAATGCACCAGCTGTGAAAGATATCAGCAGTTTGATCGGGGCTGATCGGTACTCGTTTTTTGACACCACCTGGAAATGGATTACCGGTCCAAATCCAAACTGGTAGCGGTCGTTACCTTTTTATTTACTCACTTTTGTATACTGATATATATATATATATACAAATATAATATATATATATATATGTATATATATATATATATATATATAAGTGTGTGTGTGTATGTGTGTGTGTATAAAAGCAATGACCGTTTACCAGTATGAAAACACAAACGAGTGGGGGGGAAATAAAGATTCTTAACGATGTAACACAGCCTTTACTAATTAGGAAACGAACCGAAGTAAAAGAAAGTTTATGTGTGAATTGGGTACTGATCGAGTTGCCCTGTCTGCGTACACAACCTTGTGTACACACCAGTTGTATTTGGTAATATCACTCTGTACGTGTTTTGGTATATTCTCCTCACAATTAGTTGTCTGTTAATCTACGTATACACAGCTGTACGTAGAAAACAGTAAACCAATATCAGATTATTTTCTTATATGTATGTATGTGTGAAAATGGTAGATGTATACCTGTATACATACATGCATCTATATATATATATATATATATATATATATATATAATATATATTTATATGTAAAATTTCTTTATATATTATATATATATCCTTACCGTCTTTATATATTAGATATAACCTTACTGTCTATTATGTACAGAGTTGCTGTTATTACTGATAGAATCTGTCTAATATAAATATATCTATTTATTCCCTTTGTATAATACTTATTCATTTTGTATAATAGTTATCTAAAAGCTTTGCGTTATTATTTAGTACGTACATTTTATTTGTGTATATGTTAGGAGGACTATGTTTCTGGTATGTGGATTTTAAATGAAGATTAGACGGCCCGAAACGTATTTTTTATCAAGTATTTTTGTCACTTTTGCCGTTTAATTAATAGAATAAAATTTCTTTTTTTTCTTTCGGCTTTCGATCTAATTAACTTCAATTTAATTATTTTTTTTTTAAAGAAAATGTTTTTTTTTATCCACCTTTTTCCTCTTTGTATTTCTTTTCTCCTTTCTTTTTCCTTATCTTGATAATTCAAATTCCCCAGATCAAGAACATTCCACCTGTATGGACAGGTATTTGACAGATCTGACCGACAGTTAAAGTTTCTTTTTCTTCTTTTTCTTCCCCTTATTCTTCCTTTTTTGAATACGCACTAATTGCACACTATGCACTCGACTCTCACCTGTCAGATAGAGTGCTGGCGTAAAGTGGGTCTGGTAACAGCTCCCAAATTTATACATACATACATATATAGATATGTAGATAAAGAGTTGATCGTACCAAAGTGCCTGACCTTTGACACTTCATCATGAACACTTATTTATAAGCATACTTATATACACTATCTATATAAACACATCTATAAATGTTTATATATTTATATGCCTATGCGGAAAGGTATATATGTGATTATTTTAATTTTTGTGTTGACGACTTTGTAAATATGTGAAACGTCTACTGATTCTTTTTCGTGATACCTTATTTTAAATCGGGTTTTTAATGAATATTTAAATCACTACGTTTGTTTCGTTTCGCTTCTGTGGGCTTGTTTTTATATACTCTTCTCTACAGCAGGCAAAATGTTAAAGTCGGTTAGCCATAGTGTGATACGTTCATTTATTTTAGCACTGTCTGTCATAGATTCCACTCCTTGCCTACGTTAAAGAATCTGGAGAAAATAATGTCAGATTTTAGAGATACAATGGAAGAAGTAAGTCGTTCAGAAGTACTGGAATTAATCCTTCACATTAAAATCTCGGTGCATACATCTATAAAAAATGCGTATGTGTTTACGCTGTAAAGGGGCGCGCTTAATAGTTGAATGTTTGCCTCTATGTCGTTGTGTATTTAGATAAAATTCTGTGGCTTTTGCCTACCAACAAAAGTTTTCGTTTCACAGATGGTATGGATTCTGCTTTTATATATATATTTATGCAAATAGATTCACA